TAGTAAAATTTTTTAAAAATCATACAATTCCTGCAGCAATTTTAAAAAGATATCAAGAAGATAAATATGGATTAAATTACAAAACTCTTAAATTACCTGTTGAAACTAGATGGGGTTCTTCAGCAAATTGTTTAAATTCAATTAAAGTTAATCAATTAGCAATTAGTTTAGCAACTACTGAATTAATTAATAATTCAACAACTATTATTAATTCAGAAATTATAGAAATTGTTCAAAATAATGAATTTTGGAATGAAGTTCAGAATTTATTAGTTATTTTAAAAATTCTTGTAAGTGGCATTACAATTTTTGAAAGTGATATATCATATTTATCACAATTTTATAAATGGTATGAAAATCTTGAAACTAATGAATGTAAATATTAATTATATTAATTATAAATATATTAAATTATACTAATAATATTTAATATTATATATTTTAATTATTAATTTACTAATTTTAAAAGATAGTAATTATAATATTTAATATTATTAGTATAATTTAAAAATTATATATTTAACTAATATTTTAATTTTGAAATTTTATTTATAGATTTAGTAAAAAGCTCTGCATCTAAACAAATTCTTGATATTATTGTAAAAAGATGGAATAGTATGTATAACCCTATAATAGAAATAGCATATCTTATTGATTCTAGATTTCAAGGTAAAACATTAGTTAATGATATTATGACAACAGTATCTGATTTTATTAAAAAATATTATCCTGAAACTTGTACTAAAATTTATAGCCAATTGTTAGAATATTTAAATTATTCAGGTCCATTTAATAATATTATGGCATGGGAAACAGTTAAAGAAGTTGATCAATTAACTTGGTGGTCTGGAAATTTTTTAAATTCAGCACCTAAACTTACTCAATTTGCAAAAAGAATTTTAACAATACCTACATCATCTGCAGCAGCAGAACGCAATTGGTCTGATTTTAGTTATATTCATTCAAAAAAAAGAAATAGACTTAAATTACCAAGAGTTTTTAAATTAGTTTATATATTTAGTAATAGTAAATTAAAAAATTCTTGCAATACTAAAAAAGAATTAATTAGTAAAATAAGCAAAACAGATAATTTAAATTGCTTTACTATTGATAAAATTAATTTAAAAGATGAATTTTGGGAAAACTTATTTGAAAATAATGAAAATAACTTAGATTTAATTGATGATTTAGAAGAAGAAATAGAAGAATTAAATATTAATTATGATGAAAATCAAAATAGTGATAATCAGTATAGTGATGATTTATATAGTGATGATCTATATAGTGATGATTTATATAATAAATATCAAGATATTGAAGATCAAAACATTGAAGAATAAAAAAATTAATAGTAAGAAATTTATAATAATTTATAAAAATTTAAGTTTTAATAATAATTATTAATTTTAATTATTTAAAAAATTTTAGATGAATAATAAAAATTATAAAATTAAAAAAAAAATATATAAAAATAAAAAATTAAAAAAAAATTAAAAATAAAAATAACAAAAAAATATAAAATATAAAATATAAAAAAAAATTAAAATTAAATTAGTAAGTATATTGTTTTTATATTATTTTTATTTTATTAAAATACTATTATATTATTAATTATTAATTTTTTTTATTTATTTAATTAAACAAATTGATAATATTAAGGCAAAATCTGAATTGATAAAATATAAAAATATATAAATTAAATTAGTAAGTATATTGTTTATACTTTATTTTTATTTTATTATATATTATTATATTATTAATTAATTTCAATTAATCAATTTTTAATTTATAAAATTTAATATATATATTATAATATCATAAAAAAAAATTGTTAAAATCAGGCAAAATCTGAATTGATAACATTTAATAATTATAAGATTCATTTTCTTTAAGTTTAAATTGTATAAGAATTTTCTATATATGTTTAAAAATAGGCAAAATCTATATAAGAATTTATTTATAATAAATACATTAAGATTTA